TTGCATTCCAAATTATGTCTTAATCTACTTCAGGGCAACTGTATCCCCAAGGTAGAATATTCACATTTTTTTCCTATTTTGCATTCCAAATTATGCCTAGTCACATTGTCCAACATAACATATCAGAGGCCATGCAGTTCAATTAAATGACAGCATTAAAACACTCCAATAATAACCATACACAGAAATTCCACAAATTTGAATATAACCCCCAGGGAGAAATTAAATTTCAAAGATTAAATAAATCCCTTGGTAAACTAAAGTCCAAAGAAATGGAAATTCGAAATCAACTAATCTTGCTTTTGTGAGTTAAAAATCTAGAATTCAACCTTCTGAAGTTAAAGTCCCCAAATCATCCTCCCCAACTTCCTGTTCTGCTCAGTCTCAGCTCAGGGGTTATCTCAGTTCATTTGGGCTCCTATAGCAAAATACTGGGTAATTTATAAATAACAGACATTGATATCTTACAGTTCTGAAGGCTGGAAAGTCTAAAATCAAGGTGCAAGTACATTCAGTGTCTGGTAGGGCCAGTTCCTCATAGATGATGCTTAGGTGTGTCTTCACGTAACAGAAGGGACAAACAAGCTCCCTTGGGCTTCTTTTACTAGGGCACTAATCCCATTCCTGAGGGCCCCACCCCCATGACCTAATCACCTCCCAGATGCCCCACCTTCCAACACCACTGCACTGGGGATTAAGTTCGAAAATGAATTTGAGTGAGACGTGAATATTTGGACTGTAGCGGGGTGGGGGTTCTCTGGGTAGATCAGTTTTCTTAAGCTAGGCTGTCTCTCCCTGGAAAAGGATGTTGTTCCTCAGGACCTCAGAGGCTGTATTAGTTCAGAATGAAGTCTCTCATGAGCACTATTTGAGATTCAAATAGAATTCAAGGGTCTTAATAAGGCATGCACAGCTTGCAGATAAAATTATGTTGCCAAAATTCTGGTTATTACTGTTGCCAGAGACCATAGAAGAAACTCAATAGCATTTGAGGCAATTAGGATACATAGAGAAAATCTTGGTTTTAGCTCCACCAAAATGTCAGTTATCTGGAACTATAACTTGTGCACTTAAATTTAACTAGGAGAAATCTTTAGCAATAGATTAATATAAGAGATACAATCCAACCATCAAGCATTTACTGGATCGGGGGTTATAAATCCACATA